ACTAAAATTATTTTGATTAGCTGAACCATAATTTACTTATTCAGTAGAAGGTAGTCAGAAGTTAATTAAATTAGAGACAATATATTCAAGACAGCTACTTTCATTTTTGTATTTATATAGTGCCATGAGAAGAACAGGTTGGTTTGTTAAATGTGACATGTTTGTATCATATATTTCCAAAAAGGTGAGAATAATAATGAAACTGATCTTTTTTCTACATATGCCTAAATACTACCTTAGATTACTTATGGTTATTTTATATATCATGATGACAAGCAGTGAGACCAAAGTTATTCATCACATCCAACTTGGCATTTATCATTAACATGTCCTAACATTTGTGTTGGGCTGTTTATAGGAACTCTTTCATTTTTCTGAAATACCAATATGGTGTACAATTTCCTGATGAACAGCTTAGTTTATATTCAGAGTGGGAGTCAGCATTTAAACGACAATTTCATTACATAGAGTTGATGAATTTAACTCACAGATAACTTCACTTGATTTCCATCTGATAATTCTTAGTTCCTTTCTTACGAAAATATACTTGTTTATAATCATAAAAATAGAATGGATTAATCAGAATTTGCTTAGATAACTGGGATTTAAATGTGTTAGTAAATGAACAAATTCAATAAGTTAAGCGGAATAGAACTTTGGGTTGGATGTAGGTAAAATAGCTAACCAATTACTGGAAGAAACAGGGAACCAAATCAATCACCTTTTTATCGAAATGTATTGTGGAATTAAATGTTTTTGTAAAATGCCTACCATTGCTGAATAGCAATTCAGTAGTTTATGTGTAATCGAGGATTAAAATGCCTTGAGTTAATCTAATGGATTCACCGATTTTTGAAATGTCACTTGATTATATTACTTATGAGTAACCACTTTTTATTGAGTAATTTAGTTAATATTCGTCTAGCTAAATTGAATCTTTTCCCCCTCCTTTCTTAGGATTAATATTGATTAACAGTATAAATGTTTGTGTAAATTATTGATTGTTTTTGATATCATTAACTTATATAAGTTAAACATCCTCATAGCAGACACGTTTGACCAGTGAAGTTCAGTCGTGTCGCGTTTGAAGCAATTACCCACTGGAGACAATGAAAAATGGTCTTACAATATCACGAATTGATTAAAGTAGATGGGTACAGTACTGGGTCCCGACTCAGTAATCTGAAAATTAAGCTTCCTCATAGAAACCAGAAGGCCCTGAGCTCTGTCTGAAGTAGGGTCGTGGATGCACACTGATAAGCAGTCTTCTATAAGGACGAATCAGCTGTTCAGTGCCTTTTGGTTTTCTGTTGGTATTCAGTAGCCTTGAATAATTACATAATTCTTTATCATATCTAATTTTGGGTGGTTGATAATAACATTTACTTCATATAATCTAATAAAAATTTGAGCAGAATGATATTAGCTCATTCTATCTCACTTAGTTTTCATAAACTACCTACAACCCATAATATTTCCAAGCCAAAATCATCATTAAGTTGACATAATGATAAAGATGAAATTGGTTAGTTGTGAATAGGTATCACCATAGTAGAGTAACGATTGAAATACAAGTAATCAAACTGAAGAGATGCAAAACAAGTATTACAAAGAAATGTTATGTCCAAGAGAAGACTCTAGAATATCAAACATACTAACAAGTGATCATCAAGCTAAAAATATTAATTGATAATTCAATGAAGTAGCTAAATATATGTTGATGGTAATTAAAGATAACATGAATTCGAATCAGTCAGTTAAATGCAGTAGGTTAATTTCATGATAATTTTGATATTAAAATGTTATGAATTCTAAGCAGCTGACAAAACAAAACAAATCGCGTTATTCTGTTCAAATTTGAAAGGTTATGATTTTATGATTTGAAGTTATAAAACTATTTCAATTGTTACCGCATCATATCAATACATATATTGGTGTGTTCGGTTTATCATCAGGCGGTAGACAATGCTATAGGAATTACTGATTGTTTAGTCTTATTATGATGATACATTGTGTGATGTCAAAATTTTAACTATTAGACTTGATGTAGACGATTCGTTTGTGTATATCACATATTTCAATGATTTGATTGAAACAATCTCTAGATCTAGTAATAATTTTTATGGGGATTCTACGAAATTTGTAGATAATATTCATTCAGAAGATTAAACATTTATATTACCCTGAAAAATTAATTTTTCATATTTTGAAAATTAATATTGTAATGAAAGAAGACAGTAATAATTGTATACATTTTGTGTATTCTGGGATTCTTATTCCATGAACACTTTTATTTTGAAGTTTCTAAAGATTAGATTGCGGTCAGAATTCATACTGTCCTGTTGATCAAGAATACGATGATACTAAGACTTTTTTTGAAACTTTCGTTGATATGATCTATAAATGATTAATATTCAGTACCTTCAGCTGTGTATCCTTATGATAATTCTGTAGTAGATTAAGGATATCAATACTGAACATGCATCTAATGAATTTTGACTAAGTTATTGACTAGACTCTTATACAAGTGTAAAACGAAAAATTATCATTGATAAGATAATCAGTGTCTCAATTCACATTCTAGAAGTTAATAGTAAATAATGCTATTAGGAAGTAAAAGTAACGGGTGATGGAAGAAAACAAAAAGTTACTCAATTGGTTTTGTTAAGAGTATATTCCAACATGTTTATTCTGGTTAGCGTTTTTAGCAAGGTTGTTTTCTATAAGATGGGGTTGCTCACCCCATGCACAATTCTCCTCATTTACTCGGGTTTGCGATCGGCAATAACCCTAGAAGGGTTACAGATAGAGGAGGACAGCTGACAGACCCATTCCAAGTGATGATCGACGTCAGATAAGGCTGCTTACTCTCACCCTTTCTCTTTCTTCTGATAATTGATTAGATTATGGAAACTTCGACATCTGAATGGAAGCACGGAAAACAATGTGTATCACGGATGCAACTAGATGATTTATACGTCACAGATCACCTAGCTCCTCTATCCCATACACATCAGTAAATGAAGGTCGAGACATACAGTGTAGTAGCTGCCTCCACATCAGTAGGTCTCAATATACACAAGGGTAAAAGCAAGATAATTAAGTACAACACTGAGAACACCAACCTAACCACACTTGATGGCGAAACTCTAAAATATGTGAAAAGTTTCACGTACCTGGTCAGCATCTTCGATGAACAAGGTGGATCGGAATCAGACGTGAATGCAAGGACTGGGAAAGCAAGGTCAGATGTTATACAATTGAAGAACATGTGGAATTCGAAACAAGTTTCAGCCAACACCAAAGTTTTAATGATTCATAGAGGTGCCAAGACAGTTCTACTGTGCGGAGCTGGAACCCGGAGAACAAAGAACACACTACGTCAAGAATTGTGAGCAGATATGAAAACGATGAATAGCAACTAGAAACAAGTGGAAAGGATTGTCCAGGACTTAGTTAGATGTAGAATGGTGGTGGGCTGCCCATACTTCTCTAAAAGGGGTAAGAGGCGTAAGTAAGCAAGCAAGGAATATGTCAACATGAAATCATATCAATTGAAGAATTATTGAAAACTAGGTTAAAATTAACAATTATACTGTCTTTAATTTCAGATTCTTTTAGTTGTAGACATCCAGGACCTTAAAATTTCATCACTAGCAAGGAATCACTTAATTAATGAGTCATTAACGAACTCCTAAAATTTATGGATGCAACCTTCATGCAAGAATTGTAAGCATGAGTCGTCAATAAAACACAATTTAAACTAAAATTATTGCATCACCACCAGTTTCTTTTAAATGATTCTTTCGTTAACATTACTTCTTGTTGATAATTATTTTCAGGGAAAAAATTAATCCGTCACATTTATGGAATGGATGAAATTCCATTTTATAACTGCCTGATTCTTCAGGATAGTTTCAATGAAAAATCAAAAGATTTTTCTGCCTATAATAAACACTTGGTTTTGTATGATACATGGTTTTTCTTAAGTTTCATTCATTCTCAATTAAATTCTATTTTCAGAATGGGAGTTTGTGAAAATTGTAGTAGGAGTGGCCATGATCATTAAAGTCCAATCTGTGTCGGGTAAAGACAGGTATCTATCTCAGTCAATGGGTGAAGGTTTGGGCAAGATCATGGATCGATCAAAGTTAGACATTGGATACCGACTCAGTGGTCTAGAGGTTAAACGTTCGCGCACGAGGCTGAAGATCCTGGGTTCGAGTCCCACTCATGGAATCGTGGATGTGCATTGCTGAGTCGTTTCGTATTGAAACGAGACGGCCATTCAATTCTTCAATAGTGGCCCAGCTTAGGTCGATTTATGAATTCTACAATAAAAATCTATTTGACTTCAACATTTATCCATTCTAGTTTAGTAAAGAAAGTGACACACAACATAGAATGATCGATTGAAATTTTTTTTTGGAAAATAAATCTATAATAACTTAGAAATCAGTGTGGGCTACTCTTCTTTAAATTGAAGAATTTGAATAGATTTTTTTTTGAAGTATAAAAAATCCCCGTAAACCATAACAACATGATCACATGTATCGTCAAGTTATTTCATTATGAAAATATAGTAAATTTGCATGAATCTTCAAGAATTTATTCTAATCAGATCATAACTATATATATATATGTTATTGGAAAACATTAACTATACTAATCACGTGTTATATTTGCATTAGTTAAGTTATAAGACAACAATATCTGTACTTTTATAAGTTTGTGTACAATCTAACGTTGAGTGAAGTGAAATGGAATGGTTAATGAATGAGTAATGAATAAGAATCTGTTCTGTATATTAATTATTTTGATTAATTGAACAATATTAATAAGTGATTGTATGTATTTACAATAGTAAAAAAAGGAAATATATAAGAACTTGATTATTATTTTGATAAGTTATGGTAATAAAATTAACATATAGTTAAGCCAATGTAGAAAGGAAAATAACATTGTATCAAATTATGTAATATTTTCATTAAATTAAATATTTAACAAATAAATCTAGTTGCTAATGGATCTTCAACTGGTGAAATCCCTGTAAAAAAAAACTTTGTAATGATAATAATGATAATAATAATAATACGAAGTTGCGCCACCGTACACCATTGTCTTCAGTGAGTTCCTATCTCACAACAGACTTGGATTGGCTGAAGTTAGACATTAACACCATTGGATGCCGGCTCAGTGGTCTAGTTCGTTAAGCGCCTGGCGCGAGACTGACAGGTCCTGGGTTCGAATCTCGCAGGGTGCGGGATGATGGGTGCGCACAACTGAGGAGTCCCATACTAGGATGAAACGGCCGTCCAGTGCTTCCAGGTCTTTCATGGTCGTCTAGCTTCAATTGACTCATAATTTCAACCAGTGAAATTTCTAAAAATCTCCATAAAACCCATTGTGATAATAATAATAATAGTATCGCGATTGGTTAGAAGCATCGAGACTAAGGATTTAATAAAGTTAAACAGGAACTAAATATCCTATCGATCAAATCCGATACAAAAAAATACACTTTATACTGTAAATCGATGAGGTATTAAAATGTGAACCAGTGACTTTCAACTTGGTAACTTATTGGTTTTGTTCTTACTACCAGGGTTGGATATCTTCGATTCGACTCCTTGTGATATATGGATTGAGTGCTGACATAGAAATCTAAATAAGAAAGAAAACGCTATTCTTAGTAGTCATTAATTTCTAATATTTCTCCAGCTGATATTATATTACCATGTTTACTTTTATCACTAATCGGTTGTCAACTTCTATTTCACAAAGTTGGATGACTAGTAGTTGTCTTTAAGAGGTTGTGTATTGAGATATTTTTCAGCTTACTGACAATGTTTAGGAAACTAATGATCTACTGACTTATTTTAATTATCAGTTTGAGATAATACTAATGATGTTACCCATTTGGAACTAACAGAGTGTTACAACTGAATAAAACTGGTAAGGTTAAGTAAAAAAAGAAGGGAAATGAGACAGATGAAGATTTATTTGACATCAAAAACAGATCAAAACTATGTCCGAGTAAAATGATCTTTTTGGGTTTAATTTAATTTAGTTAATGGTTACATTTTGAATAAATCTAACTGAGCGTCAACTAATACTTAATAATTAAAAACTTACAAATATCTTAATTTGTGAATCTACCGTAGGCAAACATGACTGTTTTATGATATTATATCCTTTTCGGGTCCTAAAACCTTTCTCTTTTTTAAAAATGACTACAAATGGGTAATGTTTTGTTGAGGTCTAACATTAAGAGCCGTTATTCTGCTTCATAACACACATATTGCGACTGAATTTATTCAGTCAAAGTTTTCCAAAATTCATTATCTGAGTGAACATAAAACTGATATTTCTCGACTTGTAGAAGCTTTTAAACGTTAACTTTGTATTGTCATTGATACTGTTGACTAGTAAGGCTATATTTTAAACCCCAGCCTCTCTAACTCAACCTGAATTTTGTGCGGCTCCCCCAGAGTTGATTGCTAAATGATGGACATTATAGTATAACCTTCACATGTATGTTGTTTATTTGTTACGCATCATCTTCAAGTTTAGTATGACACCACTGTTGGAGTGAAGGTTAGAAGTTCACGTGCCACTCCCAGTGAGCTGTGTTAAGGCAGATTATTTTGAACATATATATTAAAAGGGGAAGGTTATCAAAAAGCCTTATGGCTCTATAATTAACTCTGTTTGAATCACAGTGATCTATTTTCAAATTACTTATATGCTATACAATACTTTGTTGGTGTGTACGTTATCAATGTTCATTGTAAGAAGCAAACACCCAAAGCAGATTTCTATTAACAAAGGCTCACGTTTTCAGAATAGTTAATGTTAACGAAGGTCTGATTATTGGCGTTTAATATCAGAACAAGTTAGGTTATATCCATTTCCGAAGGCGGTCGTGAATGGCATTTCAACCCTAATAGACTAAGTTATCGAGCTACGAATGTGTGAATATATCATAATGTCAGTTAGAGGAATTTTATGATGTTTATTATTTTGAACAGTAGTAACTGACTGATTGTCACAGATATCTTTACTTGAGGCAGAGGGAATAAAAAGAAACTGACCACTTAAAAAACAATAGATGATTGTGAAAAATACATTTGTTTCTGGTGGCTTATAAAAGACTGTCAAAGGAAAACGTAAAAGTAAAGGAGACTTTGATATACGACAGACCGTAAAAGGAAGGATAAAAACTAGGTATTATATTTCAGATATAACAGATTTTACTGACGCTTCAAATTGGATCTTAATAATTTAACATACTAAGTAGATTTTGGCCTGGAGACCCAGTTTCTCAGATAAACCCGTAATCAAAAGCTACGACTTAACTTTTTCATTATAGCCATGATGAATAAATGAGAATTGCACGTTTAAAGACTCGAATTAAAGAGATAGATCTGGATATACAGGACCTAGATTTATTAGAAGAAACAATTGTTGCAGTATAGGAATGTGATGATTTTAAAAGAACAAGTACTGTGAATTAAGCTTAAAAAGTATTCATGTTAGGAATTGAGTTGTACTTTAACAGCCCCAGCCCAACATTGACTTATGGAGTCTTTAATCTATTACTAGACAATGAACATTGTAATATTTTCATAATAATATTGTTACTACTCATAAATTATTTGTGTTACATTTTCAACTGCTTCCAAGTACGCTGCTGACTGTTCTTTTATAAATGATTTTATTTCCTGTTTGTGTTTTTAATACAATGATAGTACATTTAGAAAATTTACCAATTAGTTCTGACAATCAAATTTTTCTTGTCTTAACTAATAGGTTCATTAAAATTCTGGTCCGACTGTCTGTACAAGAAAAACTAGATCCTACAAGAACTTTCTACCGGAAAACTTAGGATGTCACTTTTTTGTAAAAATGGATTATCATCCATGTTATTGCACATCATTCATTCAAACGATCACTTTTAACAGGAATGATACTTCTACATGTAACAGTTTCTAAGTGTTATATTTCAGGCTGTTTATTTTTGTAACGATATTGAGGTATCCGATTGTATGAATTCAAAACTATTGTACTATTTGACATTAAGTTTTATTTTAAGTACAAGTAACTGCTACTTGCTAACTTAACTTCTGTTAACACAACCTAATAGTTTCCTGTGTAATCTGATAGTTACAGACAATTTGAAACAGTAATATGAAACACTAGGTTACTTCTTTGGTTGAATAATCAACTATACGTCTGAACAACTCTTTAAATACAACTATTCGATTAATAAGTTATCCTTAAGATAAGGAAGAAAGACAAATGTTGCTTGTGCAAGTTTTCAAATAAATTAAAGTTTAAAGAAAATCTTATTCATTAGAAATGTCAACCAAATGGATAAGTGGAAATTTATATTCATAATAAGAGGTACAGTAAAATTACATTACTTATGGCTCAATAAAATCTTAATTAGATTGTGTAGTGACAATATTATTTCAAGTAACTCAAATAAAGATTATCTATCAAAATGATCAATATTTGAGAATTTAATAGTTTCAATGTCACTAATTTCACTTTAAAGCTGATTATGAAATTTTTCTCTCTTTTGATATGTAAAGTACATTTACATTCTATATTAAACGTAGTTAACATTCGTTCTAAATAAATATTGTTAACAGATTGAAATCATGAGTCAGTTGAAGCTAGACCACCATTGAAAACCTGGAAGCACTGGGCGGCCGTTTCGTCCTAGTATGGGACTCCTCAGCAGTGCGCATCCACGATCCCGCACCACGCGGGGCTCGAACCCAGGACCTACTGGCTTCGCGCGCGAGCACTTAACCATTAGACCAGGACGAAACGGCCGTCCAGTGCTTCCAGGTTTTCAATTGTGGTCTAGCTTCAACTGACTCATGATTTCAATCTGTGAAAATTTCTAAAAATCTCCACAAACCCCTTTGAAAATATTGTTAATTTCAGATAAATTCTATATAAATAGATAATGACTTGAAACGGATAGTTGGACAGGTATGTATGATCTCGAAATGTAACTGATCAAGAAATTATGATAGAATTCCTTCTGTTCAGTTAATAATTAATTTAATCTACTAATTGTATTTGATAATAACTGTAGGTAATTAAGATTCTTTTTTCTTACCTAGTACATCATAACCATACTTGAAATATATTATTTTAATTTTTCTAGTTAAAGACACTATACTTCTTACTGTATTTGCAACTTGCATAGAATTTTGCAAATAACCTATAAAGTAATTTCAGTCATCTGATATGCTTATTTTCAACAGATTTTTTTGTTACCATAGGTTGTCATGTATTCATTGCTTCAGTTATTTAATTTAGCTGTTGTTCTGGATTAAACTATTTTGAATGTTTATTTTCTATTCGATGAATCTCTTAACATGAAAAGTTTTATTCGAAGAATATTTCACCATTCTAATAGTTTTAGTATTTATAATGTCCAGTTTTCGAAAAACTTAGGAACTAATTTATTTGATGGAAGTGCTGATTACTTCAATGAACTTGAACTCTGAAGCTTCTGTAAGTGATCACTGTTCAGTCTGAATGTATTAAAAAATATATTACTGACAAAGTTACTCAGTGATGTATGAGCGAGAATGATAATGATTGGTTGTCTGCGTAGTCAAACATGTAGATAGTCTGACAGGTGTCAGATGAGTTATATATTCCCCTATCCTTATAATAAAAATTATTGATTGTTCATTATTGTTGGACTGAGTTGGGATTTTGGTGTGGAAATATATTTACGTTGTGGTCAGGCTAATCATGTATTCTTGATCTGAGTTGTGTTGACGTCCTGTAGAATAGACACTGGGAGGGAATCTAGTGTAGATATTCGTCTAAGGTAAATTAACCTCCCATACGTGTAAACGTGTAAAACCAACCGTTATAACATTCAAACATAATTAAATGTTAGCAATACATTATTTTTCTTTTGTATGTTCCTCTTACTGACTAAAATGGATTAAAAAGTGTTTTTTTATAGTACATGAATGTCGAGTATGAATAGATATGTTGATTTAGTAGAAAAAAGATCCATTAAATTTGTAATCATATAAAAACATCAAACTCATAAAATAATAATCTATTTGTTTGTTGTTACTCACAATTGTCTCTATAGAAAATTATAATAAAACGATTATAGTTCATTATTTCAAATAAACAAGAACTCATTTAAACAGTTACAACAATAAAAAAAAATGTGTATAGTGGTATGTGTAACTTTGTGAACTATAAACATTTCTGTGTTTTTGAATAAGTGTTAAGATTTCATATTGACTTTCACATTCTATACGTCATCTGTGAAATATTAATAGGATTTCAGTAATGGAGCTTCAACGACCAATGTATTACCCACCATTTGTGAAGTTACAGACAATGGATCAACTCTATGTGGGGTATCATAAGAATGTGAAAATTCAGCACATGGTGTATTTTTTGTCCAACGACTGTTACTTTTTGAACATCGACCAGATACCACTACACGATTGGAATCAACATGAACGCATAAGTCTTCAGATTTATACATTGGGTCAATTGGTATTTCAATATGGAGTCGTTTGCCTTTGAAACCTTCATCAATAATGGTTAAGCCATTAGTACCTGTTAAAATTTAAAAAGAGGAATTTAGAATCAGTGTTTTTTTAAGGTACTGAATAACAAGTATTTTTCAGCATTTCTGTTAATGAATAAACTAGTGTAGATTACCTTTCACAACTAGATCTTTAGATGGTGTTACATTTCCAGTATGTGTAGGTCGAATAGCAATTTGACGTTGATTATTAAATGTCACTGATTTATGATTATTTGGTTTTACTGGAGCTTCTAATATTAAGACTCCATCCTAGAAATGAAAATGAAACAGACTTAAGTGTAATTTATTTGAATGTGCAATAATGATAAAGATAATTGTGAGACATTATGCGCATTATGAAATAAGTTTAATCTATGTCGAGACTTATTTATCATATAAACATAAATCTAGTCTACTTCATATCATCTACGTTTAAAAGCGGTTAATATGAAAATTAAGTATGATAACAATAATAATTGACTTTCTTATTATTAACAAATAAAGAACAGTAATTAATTTAAAATAATATCAACAAAACTACTTATGATTCTACTTTGGATTATGGGTAGTATGATCCAAAAAAGTTTTTTATTTAGATCATGAAGCAATGAATGTTAGATCACCATTAAAAACTTGGAAGAACTGGACAGCCGTTTCGTCCTAGCAGTGCGGACCCACAACCCGGGATTCGAACCCAGGACCTTCGGTCTCGAGCGCGAAAGATTGGCCTGTAGACCACTGAGCCCGCATACAAAGGTGTTAATGTCTAACTTCAATCAATCCACGAAACTGCTTGATCAGTTTCCATTGTCTGAGGTAGATGCCTGTTTCTGCCTGCACAGATTGGACTCCACTGGTCACGGCTTCTCACTAGAACTCCGAGAATTCCCTCATGAAGCTAGTCACTAGTGAGCACATGGTAATTCATGATCTCAATCAAAAACTTAACAAGCTCTACAACCCCACATTGATGACCTTTGTTTCTTCTTTATGAACAGAGACTTGTCAACTTCAACCTACTTCCATCTTAGTATTGATCTTCATATTAAATCGAGCCCAGTGCCCACCGCTTAAGACGCTAAGGATGAATTAAGGTAAAACAAGCATCCTGGACTTATTTTTAATCATCCTCCAAAATGCAACCAAATTTTGAATACAAGCAATATTAAAGTATTGGCTTAAAGAGACCATACGTCTTTAAAAAAGGATCAAATTTCTATCCCGAATACCAACAACGGAAAGTCACGTACCCTTACATATATTAATAAAAACGACTAATGAATATCTGATTAATAAATTTATGTGAAAAAAACATTACTTACATCTGTTAAATTACATTCTAATTTTGTTTGTTCGATTGATTGTGGTAAGTCAATCATACGACAGAATTGACGTGAACTCTTTGATGTATCAGTTTCAGTCACTTTTTTAGCGCTGACAATCACACGATTATCTGTGGTACTTACATTGATATCCTCTGGTGAAAAACCTTTGACATTAAATCTAACCTTGAAATGCATCTATTAAAAAGAAAAACACAATATTATTATTATAGAATCAGTCACTCATACCTTTCCATCTTTACCAACTTCATATGCATCTTTTAAGAAATCGTTTAACGACCCAGTAAATGGTGCATCAGTTATACCCATTTCTCGACGAATGTTTTGAATACGTTGTTCCATTTGTCTTATTAAGTTATTTGGATCAAATGAATTGTCAAATAAATCCCATTTATTTAAACCAAAATTATCCAAAGGCTATAATTATAAAAAAAGTTAGAAAAAAACTTTTGTAAGTAGACAAGCACATCCATCAGTAAATGAAGGTATAATTGAACATTTTCAGCTATCATGAAAGAGAAAATGTAATTGATTATTCTATACAAACCAGAACATTTTGACTTATTGTGAAGAATGATACTGGATGATTGGCTTGTTAATGTATCAAATAGGGTGTCAGTTATTTGTTATCTAGTCTGTTTCAACTTCGCTTTGACCTAAAACCATTATCATGGTATGTAAGATTTACACTAATTGGTCATTGCGTAGTTACCCATTCTCTATAAGTGTTTGAATTTTATGGACCACATTTCATTAGTAGCCAGCAAGGTAAAGGATTTTGTATTGTTATACACTCTGTTTTTTGAAGTTAGCATATACGATGAATTTAGATTTCATGTTGATTAGTACGCGTCATGAAGGCGTATCTGCAAAGGTTCGAACCCACATCATCATGTTCCAGAGTTTTTGACATTACCACGGATTACAGAATCTATATAAACTAATTAATATTCATGTAAATATGTATTTTCAGCTTATTTAATTCAATAATTGTTATAAGGATTGTATGTGGATTTCTGAGTTTTACAGTTTATATCACGAAATAACTTGAATCAAAAAACCAATGTGAACTAGAAAGCAGTGGACAGTTGTTTCACCTTAGAAAGGGACTTTTAAGCAGTACCCATGAGCGACTTTATAGAGGATCGAACTCAAGACATTCAGATCTAGTGAGAAACACTTAACCTTTATACCACGAAGTTGACACTCACTAGCTCACATTCTAACCTCAGTCACTCAATGACATGGTTCAAATATCTTTCAATATCATTGGCAGGTTTTGTATTACACCTAACATGATTGAAATCCATTGTTCACAGCTTCTCGTTAGAACCGGAATTACCTGTCGAAATTAGTCAATAGTGAACACATTATATAACTTAGTGGTATTATTTATTTTTATTTATCATTATTTATTGAATGAAATTTTCCTCCTAAATTTTTTTAAAAAGATTTTGTCTTTTACCTCTAAGTGTGAAATTTCAAAATCAAAAACTGATATAAAGTGAACTACTGTGCAGTAATTCCCATTTAAACATTAAAATTAAAACACGAAGTTCAGCGAACTTCGTGTTTTAATTTTACTGTGGACTATACAATCCCTTTGTAAGACAAATGGGATATCTTGCCTAAGTCTACTATTTCACATTAAATCTATCAATTTCCCAATTGGAAATTGATCCAAAAAGAAATTTCATAATAATTTTATTTTACAAAAAAAGCATTTACATTACCATTAATTGAAACATTCCATTTCTAATACGTTTCATTTCATCATCCCATCTTTTCCAAGATGATTTAATCCAATCATCCACTTCATTAAACCAGTTATCATGATATGGTAAAATACTATTATCATGATTTGGAAAATTTTCTACATCTTTTAAAAAATCTTTTCTATATTGTTCAAATGTTCTAGTATCTCGATGAACAGGTATGGCTATTGTTCTATCCTTTGACATTATATTATAATGAATGAATGAATGAATGAAATAGAATATCGAAAGTTATAACATACAATTAAACTCTATTTATAAAATTTATACTTGATAATTTATTCTGTTTCATTGTACTTTTTATTGTTGTTGTTATTGTTGTTGCTATGATTGTATAATCAGTTAATCATATGCATTATGAGACTTTAATAAACCAATGAAAGAAGGAAATATACATATAATGTCATATGATTATTGAATTCAATTATTGATTTTGAAAACAAACAAATATATAGAGATTGTACTTTCAGCTGATTGATAATAATAAGAAAAATAAAAGAAGAAAGAAATTGGAAACTCTACTGTTTACTATCATTATTATTATTATTATTACTATCTTTAATTATTGATTTGTATTTAATATCAATAAATGATATAATTAGGTAATTTTAGGTTATTAAGAGAGAAAAAAAAGAGAAAAACGTAATTAATTATTAATAAAGATTGATTAAAACTTTACAGTTTGATTAGTGACATCATAATGTAAAACATTTAAAATTCAATTAAATTCATAGTTGGATATCATTTAATCAATCGATTGTATTGGAATTAATGTTTAATACTTAGGAATATCAGTAGTTAAGACTGGCTAATTAATATGTGCATGGTTAAACTATTAGTTTATTATTTATGAGTTAATGTTATTGTAGTGAATAAGAACACGTAAGGGGACATCCGAATGTAATTGCGCACAAAATTACAGAGTATCTCAATAAATCTGAGAATCATACAGTAAATAGTTAATCTGCAAAATATCAATCAATTATCTCAAACTTGACTGCTCTTTTAATAAATATCAGTCCATCGCCTCAGATTTCAATGTTCGTGCATTTTTATACCAATCGATTTCCGTTTCCGTTCTTTCTTTCTCGATCGTCTACTGAAATACATTCTATCCCTGACAATCGTTATATACTACTTGTGTGAATGTAATTAGCCCACACCATATTATCTCTTTACAAAGCAAGTTTGCACATGTATTTAACCAGTAAAGTGGTAGTTTATGTGTAAAGATAAAGAGGAGCTTGTCTTATGGAAAACAACTCAAAAAGTTCATTTTGAATAGTTGCTTGAATCTTTCCGTTATTGATATTAAGAACTGCAACTGACTAATTCTTCATGGGATATGTCAATCCCTAGCAAGTTGCTTCGATGTAACCATTGAGTTAAAAGCATTTTAAGCGTAGTTGGATGGTGACTAGAGGTGGAATCTAGGATGCGAGTTTCGTCCTATATCCGGTCGCCATCTTGACTCAGAAGTTAAGTGAATAACGCTTTGAGTTCTTGAAGTGAAAGGCACTGTTTCCAAGTCCTGGTATGAACATTAACAGGGGAGCAGATAAATTCAGCTGACGAGTCCCAAACAGAATGAGGTGCATCTTGATTCCCACTCCAAGCCGCTATCAAACCCTCCTTAAAATAACTCAATAAACTGCTTATTAACATCATATTACTTTAGTTCATTTGAGTTGATAGATAATAGATGATGAAATTGAATAAACTTTAATTATTACAATGCACGCTTAAAAATGCAAGTACGTTTCTGTATCTATAACAGTAACTTCTGTAGAATTAGATAAATTTGTTGCAGTTAGTTATATTATTCTCAGTTGCATATAAAACTAATTCCGAATTTAATCAACCATTAACATTTGTAGGTGGTATTAGATAGAGTTTGGTATTATTTAAGGTACCGTCGAAAACCTTTAAACACTGGTTAGCTATTTTGCTGTGGTACTGTATTTGTCAAGGGTACGTACCCAAAACGCTCCCACGGGAGGAAACCAACACCTTCAGGTTTTTTTTAGATAGCCTTAAGAAATTTAACAACTGTCCTAGTGCCACAAGGGGTTATAGGCACACACTCCTAATTAGTCCCATTCTTAGACGGATCACCTATCCAGTACTCTGTACTGTATTTTCCAAATGTTGTCATTCGTTCTTAAGTTGATTTTTTTCTATTAATTCATTAGTTTACTTACCATCACCATGAATAAATGTGAACTTCTATATTCATTAATATATAATGAGAATGTAAATGTCACTTTACATTCAGTTAACAAATTTTTGGAATACAACTTGTTCAGAAAAAAAATGTCGAACAATACAAGCATTCAATGAATTTATTTGTAGATCCATTATAAGACATGACGAATAACTGGTCGCCATAGGAGCGAAAAAATTGTGCAATAAAATAACACCAACTTCATAATCTCCACTAAGAAATTAAAATGAATATTTCAGAGATGATGAGCTTTATTTTCGAAAGCTTCACCTAAAAAAGGTCATACAATCATATTTATATAAAATAATTACTTCAGTGGAAAAATTTTGTATATTAATTTAAATGCATACTGTAAATGGAACTCATAAAGTACAGCTTATAAATAATGTGTTGTGATATGTGCCATTCATGTTGACAGATATAAGTAGTATGCATCACCAATCGAAAGTGAAATGCCTGGCAGCAGGTTGGGGAAATCGAAGAGAAGAGAACTAGAACAGGGAGTAATTGGTATGGAAATGAAGGAACAGCAAGGTCTGAGACACGTGATGGATATATTGCAAATGAAGTATTTACTTTATGGTTCTAAGATTTTACCAAGATATCCTGTAATGTATTTAAATGCATTTGGTTGTCCTCGCCTGTGCTCTCGTTCACTGCAGTGTAACATATATTGCTATATGATTTATAAAAGTAACTCGTAAACATAAGACACGGTCAGAGTCCGGAATACTATGGTAAAATAGATGATTACGATATATTTTTATCTAATTAGGTCAATGAACTCCATTATAGACAAGAATAAGAATGAACTGAAGGCATTAATATAGTAATCATGATAGAATAGTATGATAATGTGTAAGATAACTTTTCCAGGTGGATTTTCTACGAATTTAGTTCTACCTAGTTCTAGCTTCTCTCTCTCTCTCTCTGTTAATAGAACACTTGAGAAAAACCTTGGAAATTACTTCTTTCTATAAGGTAAATGGGATGAGTGATTTTCAATCATTAAAAATATTTACTAAAATATCAAAGTGATAACCTTTGTCACAATTAATAAAAGTGTCATCGTTATATCTGCTATAAGTGTTTAAATTTTGTTTAGTTTTTGCTAGACTATTGCTCTGAATATTCGCCAAGACGATATCAGCCAATACTAAATCCAACTATGATCATACTGTGATAGTACCTATCTGTCACAAATCTATATGCTAGATCTGAACTCATACCCTATAAGGTGAATATCATCCAATTACTTGATATGTAGTTATCGTTTATATTTCAAAACTCAAAACTTCCGAGTTAATGTTTTGTGTACTATCCTGTAATAAAGAATATAAACAAGTCCAGGGATAAATCCAGTATAATATTATTCAAGTAATCCTTTACATAACAAAAATTACCTAAATTTTCTGTGTCCTGGTAATGTAAACATAAATTCAACTACCTCGACAAACTGATTTATACTGTATACGAATATTCGTCAAGATTAGAACGAATGGTTTGACAGTAATTGAGCGCCGAGTATAGAGAAGTCATTATATGTGAAAATTATATTTGAAATATTCTCAGCGATTGGAATATAACTAATTCCAACGTTTCGTCCAGCTAACTTGTCTGGACTTCTTCAGGGTAATAATCAAAATCAAAATTATCAAAGACATATGTAGCTTTTAACAATCAGGATTATACTGTGTTAAAATCAATCATATTTGGATGTTGATTTTTTGTAAAATAGGATCAAATGAGTCAGTTAACTACAAATCATGTGAAGAATTCAACTACATAGAAATAATTAACTGAGTAACAAATCGTGTGTGAGTGTGCAGGTATGTATGTATGTGTAAGAGATTGATATGAAGGAATAAATAAATAAATAAAGTTCAAGTTCAAGGTGGAAAAATCTTTTTGATAATGAAACATCGATGTACATGTCAAAACATAAATTGTATTGTTTCAAAAACTCATTGAATTCATTCCAAAAATAATAACGATGCATGTGATATTAAAAACAGGTTTAAACAAGAGATAGGTTCCAAATTTACTTGTCAAACGAAATTTGCCATGTAGTTGCCAGTTGAATACCATCTTTTCGGTTCAGGCTGTTCTTGTTCGCCCATATATGCAGCGCTTCTGCTGTCAATCTTTCTTTATGGGTGTTAAAACCTTTCTGAAGTATTTTGGTCCCTTCGAAATTAATCTTGTGCCCTGTTTCTAACGCATGTAACGCTATCGCTGACTTATTTTCAAGTTTCTTTAAATCGACCGAGGATTTTGGAACATTTTTCAAACATTGTTTGTGTTCCTTCAATCTTACATTCAGTTGCCTGGATGTTTCTCCAACATAGGTAGCATTACAGTCATGACAGCGAATCTCATACACAATGTTCTGTTGTTCTTCCTTTGCTAATTTGTCCTTAACTTTCACTAATGTCGATCTTAATATGTTATTCGCTCTAAAATACTCTTATATCATGTTTGTTTAGAATCCGTTTGATTTCTTCTGATGTTTCACTACGGTAAGGTATGACTACGGTGTACTTCCATTCTTTTCGTATACTTTCTAGTTTAGGTTTTCTTTCATTTTTAATAATCTTCCTTAAAAACCTTTTTGGGTAGTTGTTATGCCTAAGAGTAGAAAATACTTTATTTAATTCGGTTCTTTGGTCTTCCTTGTCTGTAACAATCTTAGTACTTCTGTTCATCAGATTTTTCACTACATTAATTTTCGTGCTCTGTGAATGGGCTGAATTAAAATCCAAGTATCTCTCGGAATGTGTTGATTTTCTGTAAACATTTATTTCTAACTTCTTATTATTGTGTCGACGTTCAACCAAACAATCTAGAAATGCTAGTTTGTGGTCAACTGATTCTAATTCCTTAGTTAGTTTAATGTTTTCAGAAATGCTGTTTGCATTGTTAAATAGTTCTTCCATACCATCCCGTTTATTGATAATAAAAA